CCCCATTTCTTCTCTAAACAGAAGAGCAAAAAGACTGAAGGAAGAGCTGGATAGAGAGAGGTGGCAGTGGAAGATTGGGCAAGCTTTACTACTGCCAGAGAAAATATTTCTTCTTTTTAGCTTGGATGTGTCCTTCCTTCCACCTTTACTTCTCTAGGAACACCTGAGTTCCTTGAAACACGAGGAATTGTTTTAGGTCCACCTCCTGAAAGGAGGATTGCAATGCAGTCTACATGGGTTCCCTTTGAGGAACACTGAAAAGGTGTTGCTAATATATGAGATGCACAATGTAGTGGCATGGATAGTGATGCCTGTATCTGGCTGCATCCGTATCACCATTGCTCCAATGGTCATTCCAAATTATTTGCAACAGTCACTTGATCCACCAGCATCCTCTGAGGCAAATTGCACCACTGACTGGCCCCTCCCCTCTCCACCTGCCCCTCCCCTCCACGCCCAGTCAGTCCTTATTGTGCATGCGTGGCATCGCCTGCAGCCTGCTTTTGCCCACTGGCCAGGCCAGCCATTGCTGCATGCCTTCCGCTGTGGCCCTGCCTGATCTCTCTGGGTGAGGGAGGCTCTGCAAGCTCTGGGGCCCAGTTGCCTATTTGCCACTGCCAGTCACCTTTAACCCCCCAACCCCACTTGCCTTTTGCTGCCACCACCCGCCGCCCTCACCCCCAGCAGGGAAGGCCCAGTATCTGCGGTGAATCCAGGCGGGGGGTGAGATGCAGACTGGTGGGGACCTGAGCTACATTTCCCTGTACTGCAAGAGATGTGGCGAGTCTCATGTCTTCCTACTGCTGTGAGAGCAAGAGAGTCTTTCCTGGAACAGCTCAGGGTGGCAGAGAGAAACAGGATTCAAGCGGGCTACTTCTCTGCCAGACAGAACCGCCCGTTTCCCCATTGGAGAGGAAGTTGCAAAATTTTCACTGTGCCGGGAAAGACTCTTTGTTACTTCTTTGATTTCTTGCTTTTGGAATCCAGACAGGCTGAGCAGGCAACCCTCCTCCTCCTCCTCCTCCTCCTCCTCCTCTCATAACCAGCAGTTGTGGCAGGGTCGGTAGGGTGCATGCGCATGGGGAGATGCTCCTCAAGCAAATGCCAAAGCAAAGCCTACCCAGTCACATGGCCACCAAGCCACACCCATAAATTAAGCCACGCCCACAGAACCGGTTGTTGCAAAATTTGAATCCCACCCCTGGACAGAACTGAGAAAAGATTTCAGCATTAAGTGATAACCAGCCGGTTCCTTCTCGTGACCCCATTAACACGCATTTATCCCCTCTTCTTACACCCATAATTTGAAGGTGTGATATCAGAACAATCTTGATAATTTCAGGTGAACTGAAAGCCTTGGAGCTGCTTCCTAGGAGCAGAAGGCCCATTGCTCCATCCCAGGGAGGGTGAAAGGGAGGCATGGAGAGCTCTGGCCAGGTTGGGCCTCCTTAAGAGCCTCCCAGATGGCACTGAAAGAAGTGACTTATGTCCGTTTTTCATACTTATGACCGTTGTAGCATCCCCACGGACATGTGATCGAAATCCAGATGCTTGGCAATTGGTTCATATTTATGACGGTTGCAGTGTCCTGGGGTGGTGGTCGTGTAACCCCCTTTTGTGACCTTCTGACAAAGAATGGGGAAGTCAGATTCACTTAGCAAAGGTGCTACTAACAAAAGCAGTGATTCACTTAGTAATAATGGCCAAGAAAGGTCATAAAATGGGACAAAATTCCCTTAACAAATGCCTCACTTTGCAACATAAAATCTGGGTTCAATTGGGGTCATACTCAAGTAGGCAGAGATTTCATATTTACCTCAGCGAAGACCAGAGGCTACTTGGCTCCAGTTCCCATGGATTCCTAGCTCTAACCCATTTTCTTTGGCCTTCCTTCTTTTTCTGCTCAGTCTTGGCCTCAGTCCAGATGTGTGGATAGTTGTCCTTCTGGGTTTGTCAAGAGGGCTCGGGAAGGAGAGCCAGTTTGCTGCTACGACTGCGTTCCTTGTCCGGAGGGGACCTTCTCCACTCAGGAAGTTGGGTGACACCAGAGGAAAATGGGAGATCTTGCGGGACTGGATCCACCTGGAATATTTTGATGAAAGTACCTGTTAAAAGACACATGGAAGGTTATTTTCTCATCTAAAGAGAATAATCCAAAGATCTTGAAGGAAAAATGGCTAGGAAAAGATAGAAGTTATGGCAGATTTACTTTTGATAAGGAAAAACATTCTTCTGCTTGCTAGTTTAGATGTGTCCTTCCTTGGTTATCTCTCTACCTGTAGGAACATCCCCGTTCTTTGAAACATTAGGAATTTTTTAGCTCTATTGTTTTTCTTCATCTGAAACAGATGTTGGCCCCAAAAGTGCTGCAAAATAAGCTACATCAAGCAATCAGTTCCATTAAGCATCAACCCCCATAAGCAGAAAGACCTTCTTGAAGAATCACAGAGGGAAAGCTTTGAGCTCAAAGGAGCAAAGAGAAACAAAAGAAAACCAAATTCTTACCATAAAATCAAGGTATCGTGAGAGGAGAGTGGTAAATTAAATATACAGTTATTGGGGGTAAAATGTGTTTATTTTTCTCCAATGGTGTAACAGTCCACGTTATGGACTAAGAGGTAAAACACTCATATTGTAATGACCCAGGGTGGGATAAAAAATAAACAAAGTCACAAAAACAGGTGAAGCCCCTTTTATTCCTTCAACTTGGCTTCAAAGCTCCAAATATCCTTGACTGGAGACAAAAAACTCCCCCACAAACAGTTATGAAAAGGAGGAAATGGTGTTTAAAATAAAAAATGCCTATAAATTATAAATAGCAATACCAACACAAACCACACTGAGGCAATTAAAGGAACCAGGCAAGATAAGGCCTTGAAGACATCTACAGAGATGAGAACACACACTGGGAAGGACGCCAAACTCAGATAGGAACAGACAAACTAGAGATATTTTCACACTTTGTTTCCAGCACTGGCCCATACGCATGTCCGTCCTTTTAACCAGTTCTCACAGCTGCAGCCCATGAAGGGGATCAAGGCCCTTTCCTCCCCCGCAGACCACGCCATTGATGTTTCTCCCTTATCCTCTCCTCCCTGCGTGCCCTAGGATGGAGAGGAGATGGGCCTGGGTCTTCCTCTGACTGCCTAGCCGGCCTCTGCCCTTCCCCAGCTTCCTCCACAACCTCCGGAGCCACACTTCCACTTCCTGTCGGCTGTTCCTCCTCTCCCTCAGAGTCCGTCTCCACCAGGGGCTTGACACATATTCGCATCAAATTATTTGGCATCATCGGTCCTGGGCTTTCCATTTTTTTATATCTCTTTCCCTCTTTGTTAAATAGTGAAATATGAACAACCACAACCCCAGTCAAAAACAAAGTTAGTTTAGGTTAAAAAATAACAACAAAAACATGTCCTAAATGCACTATTGTGATACAATTGCAAGAAACCTAACCAAAAAGATGTGAAATGGAGAAATAATGAAAATAACAAGATGTAAAATGTTGAGTTAGTTCAGTGCTTGAACTTATCAATAAATCTATACAGCATGGAACCAAATTGCTTCATCTGCTCATTCTTAGAATACAAAGACTTTGCCAAAATAAAGTCTGATATTCTCATTTATTACCTAAAAAATTAATCTTCCTTAAATTAGGATCCGAATTTTTTTTCAATGTACACAAGATTATACCTTTGCTGAGCCCCAAACTCAGGTGAAACAAAAGTCTTCATTAAATGACAGATTTTAGGAATATAATTTATCATCCCATTTACAATTAATGTAGAGTTTGAAGAGAGTTGGTCCTAGAACGCTGCCTTGGGGGACACCACTATTGACAGGTACAGAATTTGAGAGGACGCTCCCAATTTTGACCATTTGTTGTCTGTTTGACAGGAATGCTTCTATCCAGTTATGCTGGTGGTGTCCAGAGATACCATAAGATTTTAGTTTTAGGAGTAGTTTGTCGTGTCCCATTGAATCAAAGGCTTTACAGAAGTCTATGTAGATTGCGGCAATTGCTTTGCCCTGATCGAGTTGTGTCGTCCATATGTTTTTGCAGTGTAAGATATATATATTTCATGGGTAGATTCTGCCGTAGGAAGAACTGCCGCACTGGATGACAAAGGGGGGGTGGACAGAGAGGTAGCGAGAGGGAAGCCTTTCCTGCTACTCCCAAGCCCATCATCCCTGCCCTTCCCACTCCCAGGCGCTCCTCTTTCCCGCCCTTTCTACCCTCCTGGCCCTATGCCTCAGGTCCACCAGGGGGCGCACTTAGCCAAGGGAAGGGAAATCCAGGCGCTTCCCCATTGGGCCACTGGAGGGCGAACGTCAGGGCTGCCAGTCTAGAGGCGGCAGCGAAGGAAGCGACATCACTTAAAGGCTTGCCTCTCTAGGACGCCGCACTCGCTCTCCTCAACCCCTGGAGCTCGCGGGAGAGTCCGGCGGGGGGGACATCCAGATGTGCCCCTGGTGAGGGGGGGCTCTTCCCGAGTCCCATGCTCCCCAGCCGTCCTCTCCATGAGAAGTGGGGGGGACCTTGGGCCCTGCGCTGGGAGGAGCCGGTTGGGGAAGGGGGTGCAGGGGCTGAATCCCCCTTTCTGATCCTGGGTGTTGGTTTTTCTCTCCCTCCCAGATCCGGAACCTCGGAGCCCTCGGAAGCCTTTGCAAGCCAGGATTCCCTCGGCGAGGGAAGGAAGGAAGCAGAAGGACCGGCAGGGATCCGTCCTGCTGCCCCAGAAATGGTCCCGTGAAGGAAGAGGTCCCTGGAGAGCCCCCCCAGGGTCCCTGCAGCCCTTTGGAGATGCTCTGCTGGAGAGAAGAAGGATGGAGAGCCCCCCTTTGTCCAAGGAGGGGAGCAGAAAAGACCTCACAACTCTTCAGCCTGGGAGCTGTGGGGAGAGCTGGACCAGAACCGGGCAGAAGGTCCTGCAGGAGGGAACCCTCCTTCCTTCAGAACTTCCCCCCTGGACCGCCATCCAATGCCGGGAGGCTGAGGATCCCTGAGGACTTTGCAGCCGACTCCACGACTTGTGCAGGCGATCGCTGAGCCCAGGAAAGCACAGCAAAGCCCAGATGCTGGACCTGGTGGTTCTGGAGCGGCTCCTGGCTCTCCTGCCCCCAGAGATGGAGGGCTGGGTGCGGGAGTGTGGAGCAGAGACCAGCTCCCAGGCGGTGGCCCTGGCGGAAGGCTTCCTCCTGAGCCAGGCAGAGGAGCAGAAGGAGCAGCTCCAGTGGCAGGTGGGAGACTTTAGGGAGCTCGGAAGGGAATAAATAGAGTGTTTGAATGCTTCACCCTCCTTCCCAAACTTCTCTCATGTTCATAATATGTGGAAATTCTCCAGTTCTGGTAGGACGTTGTTCCACTGTTTTCTCACTCAGCCGCACAGATGGATATTGGGGGCTTTGAAGTTGTGCTCCGAATAGAAGAATCCACTTTATGTCTTGTGATGTATATTAATTCCGCTTCTTTTTTCCTTCCTCCTATTTGAAGTGCTGCAGTGTGGAGATCAGAGATCCTGAGGGAAGGAAGAACCCATCAAATCCCCCTCAGGAGCTATTTTTCAGGAGGATCCCTTGGGAAGATCCAAGTCAGGACCCCTCAGGAGGTAGTGGAAGATCCTCCGATTCCCCATCTGTCTTCCCTTCGCTCTCACTTC